GTGTGTGATGTGTGTGTGTGTGTGTGTATGTGTGTGTGTGTGTGTGTGTTGTGTGTGTGTAGCTTACTCCAAACTTAAGTTTGAGCTGGCCTTGGGGGTTGGTTGCGGTCACCTGACCTCCCAGGCAATCTCGTTGCCATCTTGAAGGCTGCTCTTTGGTGGCCTCCCCTTTTTCAAGCCAAAACAACTAAGCTGGCAAAACACACATGCATGTACAACCACACACACAGCCACACAAACCGCAACAACGGACACGCACACAGCAGTCCAACAATCAGCAGTCATTATGTCATCATCACCACACAGAAAATAAATAACATAAGCTTAGGTGATCTGTCAGTGCTCAAACAGTTGGATCAGCTGGAGTGATCAGAGATCTAATTTCTAAAATGTAAAATAGCTGCTTAAACGGCAGCGAGAACCCCAAAAAATGCATTTCAGCTGATGAAAGTCTTGTGGTGGGATTGTATTTATCCCTCTTTAAACACAGCAGTGCACTGCCTGAACGCATTCCTGTGTAGACGCCAATGGAGGAATGAAGTGGACAAAATACACCGTGTAATTCTTTCTAAGACTGGCCCAGATCTCCTCTTTGGTGTCTGTGAAACACACGAAAAAAGCAAAAGGCCCTATCTACAGCCAGTGTTTGGTTTGTCCCTTCTGGGCTTTTGTAGAAACATGGTGGTTCAACATGGCGGCCTCAATGGAAGGGGACCCACAGTGTCTGTAGATAGAAATGTCTCATTCTAGGGCAACAAAAACACAACGACTCCTATATTCAGGCGAATATACACTAACGGAAACTTATGAATATTATATTCCATTTCTGCCAATAGAGCATCCTCAATGTTACACACTGGACCTTTAACAAAGTACACAAGGACCTCCTTGTGTCCACTCTGGGGACCCTGCCCTGAACTCCGGTCTATCTGGGTACTGTATTGGCAAAAAAAAATATTTTGTGATTATGGCCTTCCTTTTTTTGTTTCTTTTGTTTTTAAAAGGTATTTTTTGGGCTTTTATTGCCTTTATGACAGAGGGGGACAGCTGAAGATGCGGACAGGGAAAGGGGGACAGCAGAGAGGGGAATGACACGCAGCAAAGGGCCCGCGAGGTCCGGCATTCAAACCCTTGGGGCCGCCGCAAGGACTAGCCCTCGGGTACATGGGGTCGCCAGGGGCCTTCTACCCACTGAGCTAACCGGGCGCCTATGCAATGCCTTCCTTTGATATGCAGCTGAGAGAACTGGGCGAGATCCTCCATCAAGACTGCACGAAAGAGAAGTGTTTGATACGGCATAGTGCGGAGACATTTAATGGTCTGAGGGAGGGTGAGGGTGTGGGATGAATGATTGACAATATTAATGCTGTAACAGCAGTAACTGTATATAGATTTACTTTGTGTATTATACTTTTTTTTTCTTGTTTTGCCCTATTGGTTTGTGTTGTGTATAGAATTTACCAACTAATTAGAATGGCACTACGCCACTAATAGAGGCGGCTGTGGCTCAGAGGAGAGGAAGAGCGGGTCGTCCCCTAATCGGAAGGTTGTTGGTTCGATCCCCGGCTCCTTCTGCCACATGTCGAATTATCATTGAGCAAGATACTGAACCCCGAATTGCTCCCGACGCCGTCCATCAGTGTGTGAATGAGTTAGTTTCTGTTCGATGGGCTTTGCCATCACTGAGTGAAAGGGTGAATGTAGTGTGAAAGGG